ACAAATATTCTTAACTTTACTTTGAATTTCTTTGAACCTTTTCAAATATTTCAGATCTTATGTTTCATCCAGTAAATCATATTTACTCAAAACATCAATGAAGTATTAGTATTCACCGCGCCCTGGTTTGCTCATCGGATACCATACACTGCTATGTATTTCTCCATTGATTCAAATCAAAAGACTTCAATACTTCATCTACATGAAGATTATTTCTTGATATAACCAATCAGTGCCACATTTAAGTAGTTTTTATCAGTCTTAAGACATTTAGCATTAATGTTATAAACATTCAATTCAAGATTTATGAATAAACCACCAATAATAGAGGTAAATCCAAAACATATTCTTATAACCACTTGAACAACCACTATTTAAAACTTATAAGAATATCCACGGCCTTCTTGATCTCCTCCATGCCCTGCAACTCCGGGAGGCCATGGTGGTAAGCGCCTATGGACACCATTCTTGGGACAATGTAATCGCCATCCAGACTTCACAGGGATGCCGGGAACCAGTGGATCTTGTTAAAGATATTGCAATAAGCAGTCTCCAGCTTTTGAGATGCTTGGCTCAACTCATCTACAGTAATTCACTAGGTATCTCCATAATTATTGGTGTATGCACACTGTTTGATATACTAGTGTTTATGGCTCCAAACCAGACAACAGTAATCTAAAAGCCTGTAAAGTACTTGTAGAAACTATAAGTGCTTGATTGAACAAACCAGTTAGAAGATTCATGGCACTTGTGTACTGATCTAGAGTGTACACAAATATATAGCACTCAGGAACATTCCTTCATCCAATTGTATTTGCCCCATCGTCATCGAACATGCAAACAGGTCCTAAAGTTGTCAGGTTCAGATAGGGCTTACGAGTTACAAATAATTAAGGTAAAGCAAATAATTTTGAAAACGTTAGCTGGCGACCGTCAGCTATGACAAATTTTGCAGCGACCCTCATATCTGCCATCGGATTCATTTGCACGAATCCTGGCATAGGATCCTAGCCAGACGGGATTTCCAAAACAGTTCGCTATAAGAAAAATGCCAGCGAACTATATTTCAAAGCACTAGAGCTAGCGCACTGGCTAGCAGCGCAAACCTCCACCTGGTCACCTGGGTTTGAATCCCGGTACCCCAATTTTTTCCCTTTTTTTTACTAGATGGCATTTTCTCTAGGAAAAATCAACATGGCAGTTTATAAATTTTCAAACTATGTCACATGGCATTTATTATAAGAGATATCATTTTTTATTAAGCAATGGCATTTTTGTTTATTTAAGAGTTGGCATTTTTTATTTAAGATATGACATTTTTTTTATTAAGAGATGGTATTTTTTAAGAGATGACATTTTTCTTATAAATAGATGGCATTTTATAATTAAGAAATGACATTTTTATATTATCAAGAGATAGCATTTTTTATTAAGAGATGTCATTTTAGTTATAAGAGATGGCATTTTTTTGGTCTATGGAAAAATGTTCTCTATTTTTTACAGTATGGAAATTTTCAATTATTTTCAGATCATGGCATTCTTATAATTTTGTTTTCTCTGTTTTCGTCTAGAGGAAAGTGTATATTTTTTTCAAGTCTCTTTTACATGTTCTTTTGCGTACAAAAGAAAATTGTAATTGGGCCTGGAGGCCCGGAAGCCGAAGGGGGGAGCTAAAGGGGCTTCTGTGGCTGGGTCGCTCGATCGCGAGCTCCCCAGCGAACGAAAACGAAAACGTTCGCTGGTTCGCTCTCGGCGATTTCGTATCCGTTCCCCAGCGATCGATCTACGACCTCGTGCAGCCTTCTGTCCTTCCACATACGCCAGGCCTGAAATATTTTTCAGTGCATTTGATGCTAATGGAATTGCAGTGTGAATCCAAATTCATAGATATGGGTTAAGTATTAGTGCAACTGTGCAAGCCACCAAATTCATACTCCCTCCGTTCCAAAATAGATGATCCAACTTTGTACTAAAGTTAGTACAAAGTTGAGTCATCTATTTTGGAACGGAGGGAGTAGATATTTATGTTCAGAATTGCAGTGTGATACATTGCATATGTGACTACGTCCTCAGAAACAATCGAGTTTTCCTTGCATAAAGCCTTGCTGCCAGTATAAGAAATCTAGACTGCCTGCTTGTAGCATTGAGTTCATTTTGCGGGGTGCTAAAATCAGAAAAATGTGAAACGCCTATGACCCTGGTAATCCAACATGACAGGTTGCAATTTTGGGGATAATGGCTTCTGATTGCTATTGGGGATGGTACACACATATAATCTTCCATCAGGAGCACAATGAATACTGATGTAATCTTGTGTAAGTATGTGCAACTACAGGTCTTAACTCTTGAACTCTGTGATTGCTGCTTGTCGAGCTGAGTATGATGGTTCACAAGTGTTGGTTTGCCATCTATGATCTCAGAAACTTGATTGATTCAGGTGAGATTCTGAGATCACTATTCTGGATGTAGTAGATAATAGGACCAATAGTTGTTTTCAGATCAAACCACTTATGATGAAGCGGAGAAACTAGTCTGGCATATATACCAATTGTACTGAATGAAATTTGCAGAAGTTTTTTTTTCTCAAAAAAAAAAAGAAATTTGCAGAAGTTGCAAAATTCAGATAACATATCTGTTCTTCTCCAGGAAAATAACATATACACCAATTGTACTGAATGAAACATGCTTTTTTGGCGCCTTCCTGATGTGACAAATAAATTCTGCATTGTGGAGGTGTAAAATTCAGACAACATATCTGTTCTTCTCCAGGAAAAGAGCAGTCATCTGGAATAGTAGTTTAAGCACAGAAGTGATCTTCCTGGTGGGCTTGCATCCATCAGATCCAATGCTTGCATACAACAGACCGAAAACATAGAATGCGACAAGTAAATTCTGCATCAGGATTCAGGAGTTCAGCAAGCACACATATCTGTTCTTCTCTAGGAAAATAGAAATCATCTGGAATAGTAGTTCAAGCACAGAAGTGATATTCTTTGTGGGATCATCACATCCAATGCTTTTACATAAGAAACCTACTACTACAACAGATTGAAAACATAGAAAGAGATCTAGTGCTACTTGCATACATTAGATCCAATGCTTTTACATAGAACAATCCCTTGCATTAATAGATCAATTGTGATCATAATGCACACCAGTTAATTGATGGCCAAATTCACTCGCACTACTGAAAAACATGCCAGTGAAATACTCCTACTACACACTTGCAACTAGCACTAGCGACCCTGCTTCCTCTGCTTCATCTTCTCTGATGTAAGACTACCACCAAGAAGCTTGCACTGCTGATGATTTCTTCCTCTGCTTCGATCACCCAAGCACTCATCCGTGGATTTGCATCGCTTGAGCATAGTCCCGTCGACGAGCCATCTTGATGAGGTGAGCTTGATAACGCCATGCTTGCTGTCTTGCTTGGAGCAGCTCCTCAGGGGACTTACATCAGAGAACATTCCAGATCCAACGCTGGATGAGTTGATGTGGGAAGGAATACTCAAGAAAGAAATGAGGAGACCAATAACAGGACCGATGATAGTATCACGAGATAGATACTTGGAGCGATGAACATGCCAGTTCACATGCCCAGTGGTGCAAGAGCAGGGAGTCTGAAAATGTAAGACTGTGAAAAGCTAACATGATCTGAGAAAAGCCAAACCTATTTGTCAAATAGCTGCACTATGATGCAAACTTTTCCACATTCTCAAACCAACAAATCTTCTACAACAAACATATATAAAGAAAGTTACTTCGTATCTGAAATTGATCACACTACAACTTGGTATTTGGTACATTGAGGACTTGCTTAGCTCAAAGCTTCACCAACACACACACTAGAGTTCACATTCTTGACAAGTAGACTGATGTATCTCAAACCAAAAAATCTTCTAACCGATAACTGTCCCAAACATGGTTATGTGCATCACGACTCAAAGGAAGTATTGTGACACCAGAGGTCAATCCATTGGATCGTATCTCGGGTACACACTTCTCCAACCAGAACACAGGAATGTTTTAAGAAGCCATAGAAGCATACAAGAATAAATCGATACAAAAAGATTACTCATGCTCTGCACAGATTCAGGCCAACAAATTCAGATCACAGTATCTCAAACCAAAAAAATCTTCTAACCATTAACTGTCAAAAACATGGTTCTGTGCTTCACCACTCAAATGAAGTATTGAGAAATCAGAGCTGAGTTCTATTGGATCGGTGCCTCAGTACACGCCCTTTTCCGACTAGAGCAGCAGAATGTTTTAATAAGTCATAGATGCATACAACAAACATATATACAGAAAGTTACTCAAATGCTCTGCACAAATTCAGGCCAACAATTTTTCATTCATATCTGATATTGATTACAATATGACTTGATAGTCGGTACATTGAGGACTTGCTTAGCTCAAAGCTTCACCCACACATACACACAAGAGTTCACTAACCAATGTTACTCGTCGGAAACTGCAACTTTAACTCACCAAGACGCCAATGCCTAAGAATCCAATTCAGCCAAGATTAATTTTACAAGAGAGTCAGCATAGTCTCCAAACGCTAGGCAGCTCACATGATTACGTGTGTATCGACAAGTTCAATTCTACTCCTTTTTCCTGCTACAAGCCGGGTAGCAAACGGGCGTTCTTTATTTTGCGGCGAGTGCGTCTTACGCTCTGTCTCGTGCCGGAATTGCAGTACATGAGTTTCCAATTTTTTTGGCTCATCTGCTTCACTTTGATTTATTGAAAATGCCCTTTATTTACTTAAACCCTTAACTTAGGACCAGGTGTGGATGTAGTGTAACTGTGCCGTACACATCTTAACAAGGTTTTGCTGCCTAGATGCATGGAGACTCTGCTGACACTCTTGTAAAATTACTAATGGATGAAAGGGATTCAAAGAACACTAGAAATCTTGGTAAGCAAGTGCAGAACCTAGAGATGCAAAGATTAAATGAAACTCATGTGTGCATGGTTTAGGAAGCTATAAAAGACTAGCAAGGGCGTAATACCACTGGACTCAAGCAAGGAATTGGTTGCTTCCTTGCTGCTGCAGCGGTGACACGGTTTTGCTTGGGAATCTTGCAGCTGAGCTCCCCCATCGCTTGAGCAAAGTCCCGTCGACGAGCCATCTCGATGAGGTGAGCTTGATAACGCCATGCTTGCTGTCTGGCTTGGAGCAGCTCCTCAGGGGACTTGGTCACGTCGGAGTGATGGATCCAGGGGTCGTTGAACTGCACGGTGTCCGCCATCTGCTCCACCTTTCGCCGGGCCTCCGCTCGGCTGCGCTCGATGTCCTGCCGACGGCTGGCCTCTTCTTTGGAGGCAGAGCGAGCCTTGTCGAGGAGAGCCATGGTGAGGCGAGCCTTCTCGATCAGTTGGCGCATGCTGATCGGCGGCTTCGATTGCGTAGTGCTCGCCGGAGATTCAGCGACCTGGTTCTTGATCACGGAGGACTGGAGGCACGTCGGACTCTTTGTATCCTTGCTGCTGCTGGGACACGGAAGCTTGCTGCTGTTCTTGATGTTGGTGGCGACGGCGACACGGAGCTCGCCCCCGGAGCAGGCACCGCGAACGCGCTTCGCCGGCGGCGGTTGCACGTCGCGCACGGATCCTAGACGCTTTGGCCTCTTGGCAGCCGCCAGAGGGTTCGCCATCAGGGCTGGGTTTACACGCACGCGGGAGGAGCAGGAGTGCAGGTCGGCGGTGGCGGCGGCGCTACGGCGCGGGAGCAGAGACGGCGGGAGCACCGTGGTGTCGGCCATGGTCGCGGCTGTGGAATCGCGAGAGCAACGATCAAGGATCCGGCGTTGGGAGAGAGAGGAAGATGAATCGAGGGAGGCTGATCTGAGGGCGAGGTGAGATGGATCGTGATTTGGGGAAACGCGGCGAGCAAGAAAATAGGGACGCGGGAGAGAGAGAAGTGGCGGCAAAGCAATTTGAATCCGAGTCAGCCCAGGCATAGCTAAAACGCGCGCTTTTGTTTTTGAATCCGAGTCGGCCCAGGCATGGCTAAAACGCGCACTAATGAATCCAAATATAAAGATGAATCTTTCCATCTTTCCAACTAGCACTAATGAATCCGAGTACAAGAAATCTAAACGCTTCAGGGGCACACAGACACACAAAGATGACTACCTGAGCATGGAGAACAACGCTTATTTGGAGATCCTGATCAAGGTTTCTAAGTGTGTACAGCTGCAGATCTTAACTCGGAGTTATGTCATTGCTGCTTGTCAAGTTGAAGTCTGATTATTCTCAAGTTGAACATGCGGGCAAAGTGTCAGTTTTGGTTTGCCATGTATGATCTCAGAAACCTGAAGATCAAGCTTGCAAAGATTGCAAGGCCCCTATCCCTGGATGCAGTAGAAAATAGGAACAGCAAAACACGAAACATCGCACGTTTGAATTACAATGTAGCTTCTACCACACAAACATGTTTATTTTCACTATACAAAACTGGTCTTAATATCTCGAATATGTACACTACCTGAGCCGTAAAAAGCCCATAATCCTCGCTCACAATTTTATTGTATATATGCTACTACTGAATGTTCTCCATTATATCAGACCTCCGGGTCTAGAATGATTCGAACTCTGGTCGACGTTGGAGCGGAACTCGTTATGGTTACTTCTATTGTCCTGCTTGATTGGCCCATGTATGTCGATGCCGCGTCTCTGTCGGCACACCCATGGATCAGCGCGGTGGGCTGCTTAGGCTCCATTGGTAAGCTTATGCTTTCAGAGTTCAGCATTGCAGCCACATCTGTCATGGTGGGCCGATCTGCTGGATCTTCCTGGGTACAAAGCAGTCCACTTGAGCGCATCTCCTTATCTCAACGACTTCATATCCGTCCCCTAACAACGGATACACAAGCTCATGCAACCTTTGGTCCTTCCACATGCGCCAGGCCTGAAACAGTTTTTCAAAGGGCTTGACATGAGAAAACTGCAGCGCAAAAGAAGGAAAATAATCTGGCAACAAAAGTAAACATTTCGTGAACGTGAACTATAAGAAATCTTTCTTGAAATATATGTTCAGTTCACTCACATCTCGTACAAGATCACCAACAGTATCCCCTCGCTTGTCGAGTATGGTATTCTTTCGGCCACTAATAATCACCAGAACCAAAACACCGAAGCTGAACACATCTGTCTTCATCGAGTAAACTCCTCGAGATGCATACTCCAGAGCTTTGTAACCACTGAAAAGTGAAATAGAAGATATCAAAACTGTAAGATTAGAACATCTGAAAGCAAAATGGTGGGAACCTGTGATGATTGATATATTAGTAAAGCTCTTCTGCTACATCTGAACTCAGTGCTCTAGCTGATCCAAAATCAGCAATCTTTGGGATCATGTTACGATCCAAGAGGACATTATGTGGTTTCAAGTCTCTGTGGACAAGCCAGAACATGGAGTGCTTATGCAGGTAAACAGTTCCCCCTGTTAACCCTGTAATTATCTTGAATCGCCTAGACCAGTTTAGCAACGGCCCTTTTGTTCTGTCTGCAAAATGTTCGAAGAATGATTATCTCTTTGGAATTTTTTATTCTCCTCTAAACCAAACTATAATAGTTTCAAATTAATTATGATGTGGAACTATAGCATTGATTTAATTGTAGACGGTTTGCATTCGTGCACATACATATACTTGGAATTAAACGGGGCGTGCTTGGAAATAACTTGCAGTAGGGAAAACTTACCACATAGGTAACGATCCAATGATGGAGAGGATGATGACCCAAAGCTGGATAACCTAGAAGGAAATGAGGAAAATAAAAATAAAGATCCTGAAGAAAAAGAGGGTATGGAAGAGGATGAGGAGGAGGCTATTGATGAATTAGATAAGGCCAATTTCCCTTCCAAGACCAACAACCAAACCAGTTTGAACAAAAAAATATCTCAGGGGGCTGCTTCTGCAGTTGAAAAACTTCCAGTTAGCACAGTCAATGACATGCAAGTTCTGATGTCAGAGGGCTATGAGAACTTAACACCAGTGAGGATATGTGAAGATGAGAGTGATCCAAGTTTGGGATCTGGAAAAACTAATGTGCTGTCAGTCCATCTAGACTATTGTTCTGAACAACTGAGTAAATTTGAGGTGGAAGAATCTGACGGGGAAGAAGATAATATCAATATGGATATGGAATGTTTACCAGAAGACCTAACCCTGGCATTGACCTCTGTTAAGAGATCCCTACTTGATTCCCTGGAAAAGGCAGACACTGTGGTCAAGAAAAAAATCAACAACAAGAACTCACCTACATGGGGCCCAGTGCTTGCTGTCAAACCAATGACCAGAACCAATGGAGATATAAAGATTATGGATAAAGCAGCTGCTTATATGAAGAAGAAGAATTTGGAGATTCCAGCTACTTTCAAAGGTAAATCATTTGCTAACTTAGACCCTAATGAACTTGCTTCATATTCATCTAGGGTGGACTTATGCATTGGTAGCAATGAGGAGGAAAGAAAAGATATCATTCTTGACATTATTAACAATGAGAAACTTAGATGTTTGCAATTTGCTGATGATAATCCGGAGATTGTTCTCCCTGACAATTTAGACCTGATAGAAACGAATGAATATTTTTCTGAATCTGAACAAAAAGACTCACCAAATGCTGATTCAGTTGGCACTGATGTTTCAGCTGTGGTATGTCCTACTTTGAACACCAAGAAAAAGCCTTGTGGCTTATCCCATCCTTTTAAATTTAAATGATTGGTGCCTTTTGGAATATTCGTGGTCTTGGACAACCTGGTAAAATTCAGTGCCTTGCAGACTTTATCTGCAATAACCAAGTAGATTTTCTCTGTTTTTCAGAGACTAAAAAAGAGGTCATTAATGATCACGTCCTTAACAATATTTCTGGTAGGAATGCTTTTGATTGGCATTATTTACCTGCTGTAAACACAGCTGGTGGGATCCTTGTGGGTCTTAAAAGTGATCTATTCGAAGTGATTGGTTTTATTAATAAGAAGTTCTGCATTATTACCACTCTGAAAAATAAATCGGACGGTTTTATTTGGCAACTTGTTGCTGTTTACGGTACTTCTTACAATGAGCTTAAACTTGAATTCTTTGCTGAATTGCATGATGTCATGGATGGGCTCGAATACCCAATTTTACTGGGAGGGGACTTTAACCTTGTCAGATCCTCTGCTGACAAGAATAATGGTGTTGTTAACAACCAATTTACTTGCCTCTTCAATGACTGGATTAACAAATGGGGTCTTTTGGAAATCAACGTAGCCAATAGAAAATTTACATGGAGTAATAATCAAGACAATCCCATTTTTGCAACCATAGATAGAGTTTTTGTTTCTCTAAACTGGGATGCCCATTTTCCTTTGTCAGTTGTTACTGCATTTCCCCGTGTGGGTAGTGATCACAACCCGTTGATCCTGGACACCGGGGCTCGGAGGGCGACCTCCCCGAAGATTTTTCGATTTGAAAAATGGTGGCTTGACCACCCTGATTTTAAGAAAATGGTGGTTGATACGTGGAATACCCCTGTCCCTGGTAAAACAGCCATAGACGTCTGGATGAATAAGAGTAAGCTTTTTAGGAAGAAAGCCAAGGGCTGGAGTATTAACGTTGAAGCAGATATTAAGAAGAGGAAAAGGGAGCTTTTGCTCGAATTCGACATCTTGGACGTTTTCGCCCAGAAGAACCAGATTGATGACGGTGATAAAACTAGAATGGAAGAGATTAAGAAGGAACTTGCCCTGATCTGGAGCAAGGAGGAAACTGCCTTATGGCAGCGGTCCAGAGATCGTAGGATTTTGGATGAGGACAAGAATAATGCATATTTTCAGGCTATGGCTAACCATAGACACAGGAAAAAACATTTGTCTGAACTGATTGGCGATAATGGTCCTGTGTATACCACCCAGGAAATGTTAGAGGTTGCTAATTCCTATTACAAAACCCTGTTCTGCTTTGAGAACAAACATAATATCTGTCTTGGTCCTTCCTTTTGGGAGGAGGATGAACTAGTTACACAGGAAGAAAATGATCAATTACAAAAAAGTTTTTCTGAGGAGGA